TCTCTCTCTCTCTCTCTCTCTCTCTCTCTCTCTCTCTCTCTCTCTCTCTCTCTCTCTCCATTGTTGCATTCTTTGTTTCCTTCCTTTGGCTTTCAATCTTGGTCATCCTCATGTTCCTGATACACCTACAAATCAGTAGCTAGATCTATTGACTCTTGAGACCACAGTTGCTTCAGAACTTCTAGGCACTGGTGCTTAACTCACAGGACACCACCAACGTTCCTCTCTCTCTCTCTCTCTCTCTCTCTCTCTCTCTCTCTCTCTCTCTCTCTCTCTCTCTCTCTCTCTCTCTCTCTCTCTCTCCCCTCCTCCTCTCCCAATGCTGCATCCACGCTGAGCTGGACCAACTGAAACAACAACCTGATCAGCAAGGAGAAGAAGCAAACTTCCTGCATAAACTGCACACAGTTGCTTAGTCGTGTCACCTTTGGGGACCTCCGAGTGTTCGATGGACCTCCAAAAGTATACTAAGTCCAAGGCTCTAGTTACATGGGTCAGAAGAAGCTATGTCGGTCCTAAGAAAGCATCAAGATGGCCATTTTGCCAACAAGGTCAACACATTTCATCCCCTGATGGGAGGCCTACCCCCATGAGTCCATGATAGCTCCGGTGTATGGCCCGACAACAACAGACAACAGGTTTAGCTTCAGGGCAAAGATAATCATCCAGTTTCGGCTCTATACTGAGTCTATAGCCTTTAGCATTCGATTTGCACAATTCTCTACGGCTCACTTTACTTCGCTAGCTGTAATCAAGACAGCAAGCGAGTTCCGAGTTTGAACCCCGGCACTAATGCAGCGGTGAAAGGTAGAAACCAAAGAAACAACAGAGGCAAGAAACCTTCTTTCCCCCCCCTTATTTTGTGAAATCAGGGCAAATGTAGGAAACCTACTTGCATAACTGCCAGTTTTCCTTCTGCTGCAGTTGCTTGCTTTTTAGCCGCTTCCAGAGCTACTGCCATGCTCTGTATTTCGGCATTCTTCTCCTCTATGGCGCGGGATATTTCCATCTCCATTGCCACAAGTGCCGATCGTCTTGACATTAGCTCTTGCTCCAGCTGCCTCACTTTCTCATGTGCAGATCCACTCTTGTCATTCTGCTTGCAAGCACGACGTCAAATAAAATAACGAAGAACTTAACCCAGATGGAACGGAACCTTTGCGTGCCTAGCTCGGTACACCCACAAACTGTTGAAATACAGACCCAAGATCGAACCCAGATGCAGCCAGATGATTAAGTACTGAAAAATTTATGGCCTGTGATTCAGTATTTCAGAAAGTCAGACCCACTTGCAATCCACACCACCATGGGGGGGTTCGCTTGTCCTCTTCTAGCAGGGCGTCCGGTTCAGAATTTCCTCAAAATGTAGACCGTATACATGGTGATGGAATACAACAACCACTTGCGCAGCGTACAGTCTTTCCCCCAATAGAACATATGGTCACTATCGCTGAATCTAAGACCGAAAGTTATCCCGAATGCAGCTATAATGAGCATATGTTCTATTCGGGGGAAGATGGTATTTAGGTGTGCCATTTGGTTGACCCTATACAACTTTGCAAAAAAGGAAAACAAAGGAAAAAACAGACATTGGATGTTTATTTATTTAGGAAAAAACAGAACCTTATGGTTCTGGCTCCATATCCATTCTCGGGACCATCAATCCGGTTCCTATTCCATGGAGATGTCAAAAAGATACAACAATAGTTGCGCCGCATCAGTGCGCAGTGCGGTGCGGGCCGGTGCGCAGTGCGCTGTGCGCTGGAATGACAGCAAGTGCACTGTGGGCTGTGCGCTGTGCACAGTGCGCGTGCTGAACGAGGTGCACCCTGTGCACCAAAAAAAATAAAATATATATATATATATCGTCACAAATAGAACTGCCCGGTAAACCGTAGGCAGAGAGAGAGAAGAGGACAACAAACGAGGGGCTGTGACAAACTGTTTCGTCGGAGTTTCA